TTTGTATGATTTTTAATATATGCTTACTCTTCACTCAAAAAAAGAATTTACATAAAAGCAACTTGGTCAATCACATGATTCACATTTAGCTTTTCCTTTTTTGGTTCTCTTTTCCCTCGTATGGAGTAATGGAACCCCTAGGAGCTATGAGAGATTAAATCGTGATTTAGTACTTGTGCCAGTCAATCTGTGGGATAGGGAACACTGAGATCGGATTTCATGTTTCTAATCCAATAAAGAGCATGAAAATTTATCATTTCATTTCACTACTCCCGAAGGTTGCCTCATTTTTATGTGCCAATATCATTCCATATTTTCATGACCCATACATACACCGGTGGGCGTAGCTCAACTGGTAGCGAGCGAGTGTCACAAGGCTTAGGTCACGGCTTCGAATCTCAGCAACTGCGATGAGAGGTTACAATGCTAAAAAATGCATAGAGGCTCTGCAAGTACCGGGGACAGAACCTCACTCTCTCTATCTGTCAGATTGTGATTATAGTTCAATTTACATCCTTCCAACGTACCGTCTGGTCGGTGTTGAGGGGTCCTCAGGGATGGGGTGTCATCCTTTTTATGACCCATACATACAGTTGGTGCACATGATGAAGAGTTATAGGGTCCACATTTGTCATTTTAACGTTCTTTTGGTCATTCTTAATTTGGCTGAATTGGATGAATCTATTAAATTTATGATTTTTTATATCAAGTGACTGAATTAACCGAATCTAGTTATTTAGTGTGTGACATAAAAAACTATATACTCGTATTTGATTAACAAAGGTGATTGATAAGTCGATAAACTGAAAATTGGGGTCACAATACGAGCTCTAAGTGTATTCCATTCAGGGCCTATTTGGTAACGGCTATGAGGGCTGAAATGGCTGAAAAGTCTGAAAAGGCTGAATCTGTTGAATTGAAAGTGTTTGATAATATATTGGCTGAAATGACTTATTCGATATAGAATTACCATAAGGGTATTTTCAAAAAATGGAGCTTGCTCTAAACCCATCCAATAAGCCTTCATTTGTTATCAACCCCTTCTCCATTATGTCAAGTCTTTCATTTCGCACCATTCAATTTCCTCAACAAATTAAGATCATTAAACTGCAATTTTCCATAGCTTCCGCAAAAAATCCTCCACCCAATGTAGAATTGAGATTGCACCAAAGCCATTAGACTCCCGGCGTGATTGTTGTCATAGCTCCAACAAACAATTTGTAAAGGAACACCCAACAAACAAGTGCAGGGTCGATTCCGCCACCCACCCAACCAATAATGAACATCCTGGGCGAGGAACACCATGGTCATGAAGAGAACCCGTTGATTTGGTGTCAGGAAAGAGGAGTCGATCAGTATATAAAAGTGGGCAAAGGAGTCATTACGGAAAGCAACAGTGAATTAATACGTTTCAGTCGAAAAAGTGATTCTCTCGTTACTTTTTTTGGCCAATAAGGAATATCCGCTCAAACAACCCATTTAGGCTGTGTTTGGTGATTTTTTCACACTTTCAAGCTTAATTATAAGCCTATTTTTGGGGCTCCAAGCGGCCACTAATTCTTTTCTTCTTGCAATATAATACTCTCTCCATCCCGGATATAACTTGACGTTCTTTTAGCACGATATTTTAGGAGCTCAATTAATAGAAGAGCAAATGTCTTGTATGCCCTTTGACTTTTGGGGAGAATTAATGTTATACACTCAAATGTAAAAAGTGAGTGTGCAGTGAAGCTTAGTTAGGATATTTAATGTAAAAAGAGTTGCCTAAAAGGGAAACGTAAAGAAGTAAATGTACATCCCAAAAAAGAAAATGTAAATATTTAAATGGGACGGGGAGTACTATGTAACATACTTAGTATTACTCTTATATCCCACTAAAATAGGGATTTGAAAAAATTGATGAACGAAACTTTGGATGTAACTTAATCAAACGAAACTATAAACCCTATTGACATAATCGGTCAGGGCTGACATTATATTTATTTGGTTAACTCAATTTTCATTCATTGAATTTGTTTACATAGCTTGTAGACTTTTTTTAGAAGGAACATAAATACTTTGTAGACTCATTCAACATGTTCAATTACTTCAATATAATGACAGAATTTATTATTCTACTCACGCTCATCACAATATTTTCTTTCATTTTTTCCAAAATCGAAAAAAATATACTAGAGAAAAGGCCAAGATTATACAAGCAATCAATTGCAAACTCAAAATATAAGATAGGTAGTATTCCGTATAATTTTATCATTTTATGGATACTTGGAAGATGAAACTAGGTATGTACCCGGATCCGGTACTGTTTAGGCCCGGACTGGACCAGTGGCTATAAGGGGCGGACTTCGTGCTCGATTTTTTGGGTCCGATCCAGGCTCAACTGCATTATATTTTTAATTGAATGAGTGGCACCATCCTGAAGCCCGGCCCAATCGGTTACTGTTGAAGCCCGCCCGGCCCAGTACTAGTACAAACTCGGGTCGGTACCGGGCCTGAAATCCTTAAGCCTGAAGTCCGCCCAGTCCCGTTCTGAAGCCCGACTCATTCCTGTCCCAATCCATCCCTAGATGAAACTCGCTGAGTATCTAGTTTTTATAACCCGCTCCTTTGGATTTCTATGGACTTGGGAAAATACTAAAGAGAGAAAAAACAAAAGTTACAAATATTACTCCATATATTCATTTATGTTTGGTTTTGTGTAAAACGCAAACTAAATAATTATTATGGAATACTCACATGTAGTGATTTAGTTACTCACTTAAGAAAGTTTTATTACTCAAATATATGTCACAAAATTCTAACCAACGTAACTTGATGGTATGATTTAAAGCTTATTTGGTAACGCTTCAATGAGATGAATCGGTTGAATGTGTCGACATCGATAAAATTCTAGTTAAAACGTAAGTTACGTAGCAATATTATCACTTGAATCTGTTGAGTTGCCTCGAGGCATAGCTTAGCCCGTACGAAGAGGGTGCACAAGGTAGAAGCTCTATCTTATATTTCACTCTAAGAAAAGACTTAACTTGGAACAACACTTTTTCCACTCGTATGTGTGATCAAAGCTTAATTTTTATGTCTGATAAGTGTTTGCCTGTCCTCGAGGACCCTCATGGATGATGTGTCATTTTAAATATGCTAAATTATGAAAAAAATCAGAGTATTTAAAAATGTTTTATTAGTAAAATAAAGTCAAAATATATGAAAAAACTAAAATAGTTCTCTTGGCTAAATTCATCTAGAAGTATCTCACAAAATGTAAAAAATGAGTGTATAAATGAAGGGTTGACTGAAAATTACCAAAAGACCTAATGACCTATAGCCGATGAGGATATAAAAAAATTGTTGATTGAGTATTTAAATAAGTAAATTAGCCGTTGGACGTAACTCAACAAGTAGATAGAGGGTGTCATAAAGAGTAAGTTTCAAATTCGAATCCTAACAATCGTAATGAAAGATTAGAGCATCTCCAATGCTACCATGTGCACGATGCACAGTGGCGGACCCAGAAACATAGAGTCACGAGGTCCCTATTGAACATTAGGATAAAAATCTGCAATATTTTTTCTCAATGTAGGATCATCTCCTAAATATTTTGCTCGTATAAATTATTAGTCAAACTAATTTCACAATTAGCAACCATTTGATCCAATTCTTCAGTTAATAAAATATTTAAAGAAAAACTTTAAAGGGGTTAATAAAATTTAAACTTTAACCTTGTGGATATTTAAAGGATGAGGAAATATTTTACAAAAACATAATATAAAATTTATGTTAAATTAGTATTCATCTGTTCTAAATTATAAGAGATCAAATTTAATATAAAATGTAGTATAATTAATATTTTTAATACTTTTCTCTAAAATCAATACAAAACAAATTATTAACGGAAAGTTAACATCATTAGCTTCTGGTTCATTTTTGTGAAACAGTATATGAGTTCGAATCATTATCGTGAACTTTTCTAGTAGAAATTATTTTTGTGAAACGTGTAAAAAATATGAATTATTGGGGAAGATTTCGCCAAAAAACTAAAACTTTTGTATTTTTTTTTTAATATAGTATTGCTAAATTTACTTTATAATATTATATGTAGTATAAGTAATATTTTAATACTTTTCTTTTAATTCAAGATGGAAAAAGTTATTTGCGGAAAGTTCATGAATTTTTGTGAAACGGTTAATGAGTTCAAATTATTATCATGAAATTTTCGAGTAGAAGCTATTTTTGTGAAAGGTTTAAAAATATGAATTATTGGGGAAGAGTTAGCCATAAAAAACAAAAGTTGCCAATGGGATTCGAACCTCTAACATAAAAAGGGGTAGACTTTCACCTTGCACAGATATCCGCTACTCTATTTCATTTTTTTGTACCTTTTAGGTTTGCTTTGTATATATACATTAATTGGTCAAGTTTCGTATATTATATATATAATATATATAGTTTTTTTTAAATCCGTGGGGTCCCGGGACCCCTTGGGACTCAAGGTGGGTCCGCCACTGAGGGTGCATATGTGGCATGAGAGATAGCCACATAAATATTAGTAAATAAATTCTTTATCTCCTTATTTGAATGATTTTATGCAGTTTTGGTAAGTTTTTCTCCACAATGTCAAGGAGACCGTCTAGATGTTGACATTGCAGGGGAAAACTTACCAAAATTGTATAAAATCATTCAAATAAGGAAAGAGATAATTTATTTGCTAATATTTGTGTGATTATCTTTCATGTCACATGTGCACCGTGCACATTATAACATTGGAGATGCTCTTATTATGTAAAAAATGCATAAAACTTGTGCAAATATCTGTGATAGAGTCTCACTTGCTATCTACTTATTTGTGATTAAAGTACAATTTATATAGTCTTTCGTCGGCATCCATTTTTTTAAAATTTTAAACAAGGAAACCATACTTGAGCATGATTACGTCTTCAATCCATTGACTAAAGCATACATCTCCCAACTGTCACCAATAACAGGCTTGACTTCTCTGATCTGTACCACATTCTTTGATTCTTTCCCACTTTATAAACAGGCACCCTTTCCAACGGGCCCTTCCAACAGTTGTAAGATAGCAAAAGAAAATGAAAGAAACTACTGAAGAAAAAGCCCGCCGTATCCCTGAAGAAGAAGAAGCAGAACACGGCGGCGAAGGAGAGATATTTGGGGTAATCTTGAGCCGGAGCCGATCGGTTTCGGCTGCAATTCATTTCCAGCAATCCGCCGTCACGAACAAGGCTGAGGAGAATAGTATTTTTAGCGAAAAGACGACGTCGTTCAGCAAGAGGAGAAAATCAGTTTCATCAGCATCTGGTGGAGGCTATTGCAGGATTCATCACCAGCATTTCATTATTGGGGCAGAGCATGGTGGTGGGGATGTTCCTCAGCTCAAGGATTCTCAGAAAAGAACAGAGAAGAAGAAGAAGAAAGGCAATAGGGTTCTTACAGCGTGCATGAGGTTACTGGGATTTTGATTGAATGTTTCCATTTATCTCATTTCCCAAGTGTTAAATGTAACTATGTAAGTTCTTTTTATGGGTTAACTTGAATTGTATTATTGTTGATTTGTTTAGAGTTAATACCATGTATAAGTTGTCTCTCTTATTATACATAAAATTTGTTCACAAATTGTACACAGTACGTGTACACGACAACTAGGAGGTGCTTGTACAATTTGTATACCAATTTTGTGTACAAATATAATTTTCCTCTATCTTTAGGAGCGCGCATACTTCATCCGTTCTTAAATAAGTGCAACAGACAACATTTCACACTTGTCGAGACACAACTTTGACAATTAATATATATAATTCTCCATTAGTAAAAAAAATTAAAAAAATAGTTTTTGCAAATTTACAATGAGACAAATTTAATAATATATTTTTCAAAAAAAATATATTAATACATCAATAAATAAAATGTAGTCAAAGTAGAACATGTGAATAGTGTAAAATTTCACATGTTGCACTTATTTAAGAACGGAGGTAGTAATAAATAGAATAAATAACTTTGAGCCCGTTTGATAATACTGAAATTGGCTGAATTGGTTGATTCTGCTGAAATTTATGAAGTTCTGTCTGTAATGGCTGATTCTGCTGATTTATTAAAAAATTATACTTAAAATATATTTTATTAATAAAATAAAGAAAAACTATATGAAAAAGTAGCTAAAATGACCCTCTACAGTAACTTCAATCAATACAGCCCGAAAAGTAAGTTCAACCTTATTTTTTCTTATTATTACACTATTCAGCGTGCGAAATAAAAAATTCCGTATTTGGTGAAAATGTTGGCTGATAAGTCAAAAAACAGGCTCACCAAATGAGCTCTTTTGATTTATTTATTTGTTTCATCAAAATGCTTTATATAGTTCTACCTGCATCCCTTAAAAATTTTCCATTTTTGACTTTTCAAGTTAATTGTGTTAAAGGTTGGGTCATGGTATTGATTAGTATACTATTTTAGAAGTTATATATTTTAAACTTTTATGAAAGTACTTTTAACAAAGACCATTTTCATATCATTTTTATATTATAAATAATTTCTTCTTATACAAATATATAATTTGTCAAAGTTGAACATGACTAAAAAAGTTCAAAAATGACAATGTTTTAAGGAGGTGAGTATGCAGTATCTGCATTTTTAAATTTAGTGTATGCATTTTGTCAATCCTTATAAATATTCTCACTTTCTCATTGATTGAAGCTCTAAATATTTCCCTACTGCCCCCTACTGTTGTTAGTAGTGATGTTTTGAAACTATTTTGTCAAAAAAAGAAAAGGAGTTAATTTTTACTTTTAAATGTCAAATTTCTTTTTTATTAGTAAAGTTGCTGATTGGTTTGACTAAATATAAAAACTTGTACTAGATATATTCATATATACTAAACTACCACTTCTTTTTGGATAAAGTAATTAATGTTTTGCTTTTTTCTACTTTTTTTATTGTACTCCTCCGTATAAAATTGACCGAAACTACCCTTCTGCACGTTAAATAAAAAAATGTTAATAAACAATCTTGGGAGAGAATAGGTAACATAGGATCAAAGTGATACAAAATTCATAGGAAGCCAAACGAATTCTCTTGCGGGAGCGTGCTGGGGAGCGGGATAAAGAGGGTCAAATGGTTGAAGGGATGATCTAGATAGAAAAAATTTCAGTTTTGGTCTCACGACTATTATACCACTTTCACATTTAGTCCTTTACTTTCAGATTGTCCACATTTAGTCCGTGACCATTATCCCCTCACCACCCCTCGTCCTTCCGGCCAAAATTCCGGCAAATTTAGTCCACTTCTCAGCCTCAGAATCAGACTTTGCATTAAATTATGTATCAAGTTGGGTTTTTCATATCAGTCTTTGCATTAAATTTGTTTTTTCATAGCTAAAATTTGCATTAAATTTGCCGGAATTTTGGCCGGAAGGATGAGGGGTGGTGAGGGGATAATGGTCCCGGACTAAATGTGGACAATCAGAAAGTAAGGGACTAAATGTGGAAGTGGTATAATAGTCATGAGACCAAAAGTGAGATTTTTTCGTCCGAGATGAGTAAAAAAAAAACAGGGGAAATTAATTCGTGTCTATCCAATAATAAAAATGCTTAAGTGCTTAATTTGCTTGAAACATTTATGATGTTCTTACGTTGCTCATGTATTATGCATTATGTAACCTCATGAATTTAGTATGCATGTGAATTGAGTATATAATGCATATGGGAGGTCATGATGATAAGATACAACATATCAACTTCTAAAATGCACCCACCATCCTACTAAAGAGTGCATACTAAAATGTCGCGTATAAACTTCTAAAATGCACGTGCACAATGATTAAATACAAACATATGAACTACTAAAATGCATATGTCATAGCAATGGAATGCAGTATAAACTATTAAAGTGCACTTATCATCTTACTAAAGTGCAGTATACGAACTTCCAAAATGCACCTGTCATAATGAAAAAATGAAACATATGAACTATGGAGTACAAATGAAAATGTCATAACGATAAGATACAGTATGAACTATTAAAGTGCACATATCATATTACTTAAGTGCAATGTACGAACATTTAAAACGCACATGTCATGATGATAAAATGCAACATATGAACTAATAAAATGCAACGTCGGCATATTTTATAACCATGTACTTGCAATATAATTTATGTAGATATTATGAATGTATAATGCACATCTTGTATTCTTAATATGCATATCACGTGACATTAACATGCACTTCACGTAAATACGTTGTGCTTTAATTAAATTATGTTGAACTATTTACTTCTGCAATCAAGAGTTCTGTTAGTCCCAAAATACTAACAATCATACAACCATAACAGTGATAAAGAAGCAGATAGAAAGAAATCGAAAAGATTGAACGCGAATCTGATATACCGTATGAATCTGCCGCTACTCTCCCTGGAGAAGGAGAGCAGCGGCAACCTAATTTCTCTCTATCTTTACGCCTCTGCGCCTCTAAGCCTCTCTCGATTTTTAGGGTTCCCGTAAGTTAGCCTCCTTTTATAGGAGAAGTTAGCTAACTTACGGGTTACAAGGAAGCCCACGGGCTGATACACATTTGTGGCCCGTATTACACGTTTAATTGATAACTACACAAATACAAAGATAACTAACTAGATTGAACACCATAAAATATTCCCAACAATCTCCCCCTTGGTGATCAATCGTGTTGAATCAGCATTGCAGCGCATATATCTTTGTCTTTGTTGTTATTGAGCTTCCTTTGTCTTTGAACTCGACTTCTGAGGAAGGCTATCTGAAGAAATCCTTGCAATCTCCCCTTTGATGTCTTCTTGACAATTTGATCTTTGATGCCGGGGGTTGAGGGACCTTCAGTATCTTGCATGTAGACCTTGCCTTCCAGAAGTTGCTCTTGATCAGCTTGGATGAAGTCCGGTGACGCCTCTAGAATGAACACTCTTTGGAGAATAGGAGACGCCCATGGAATTCATCTTCAGGACACGAGTATTTGACCTCTGTCTCCTCCACAATGTAGTCTTTTTGACTATTTGGAATGAATGCATTTGAGGAGAACTTGTCGGTGGCACAGCGGAACATAATGATGGTTGATTTGTGAGTGTAGCTGACCATTTGATTTGAGTTGCGGAGATAGTAGAGAGGGTGTTGAAATTTGTGATGGAGGAGTGAAGTGTCCCAGAATGATTTGTTCAGTGTTAACAGCATGTGGACCACTCTCCCCCTCATGACGATCCGATGAATCGGGACGTCATGCTTTTATTCTTTTATTCTGCGGAAATAAAAACAGGAAAAACAAGCAGAATGTAAAGAAGATAACGTAGCCCCCCGGGGTCGTGAAGACGCCCGTTATCATCACTATAGAGATAAACTCTAAAGCAATGGCCTGAAAATGTTGGTGATTCTTATGTTGCAACAGCAGGACTTCCTTCCAATTATTGGTCTACATCTGTAATAGATGAGCCCTATGGAAGTTCTCGCAAGTCTTGAAGACTATCAACTGACTCTAAAATGTGTCTGTGTCCTAGAAAATTTCAAAACATTTGGGAAGTGAGTAACTAGACACGACGTGATCAATGAAAATTCAGTGGCATGGGGCTGAGGCCACTGTAGTCAGTATTACTTGTCTCTGATACCAATTTTTAGTCTCAGAATACTAACAATCATACAACCATAACAGTGATAAAGAAGCAGATAGAAAGAAATCGAAAAGATTGAATGCGAATCTGATATACCGTATGAATCTGCCGCTACTCTCCCTGGAGAAGGAGAGCAGCGGCAACCTAATTTCTCTCTATCTCTACGCCTCTGCGTCTCTAAGCCTCTCACGATTGTTTAGGTTCCCGTAAGTTAGCCTCCTTTTATAGGAGAAGTTGGCTAACTTACGGGTTACAAGGAAGCCCACGGGCTGATACACATTTGTGGCCCGGATTACACGTTTAATTATTAACTACACAAATACAAAGATAACTAACTAGATTGAACACCATAAAATATTCCCAACAATCTCCCCCTTGGTGATCAATCGTGTTGAATCAGCATTGCAGCGCATATATCTTTGTCTTTGTTGTTATTGAGCTTCCTTTGTCTTTGAACTTGACTTCTGAGGAAGGCTATCTGAAGAAATCCTTGCAATCTCCCCTTTGATGTCTTCTTGACAATTTGATCTTTGATGCCGGGGGTTGAGGGACCTTCTGTATCTTGCATGTAGTCCTTGCCTTCCAGAAGTTGCTCTTGATCAGCTTGGATGAAGTCCGGTGACGCCTCTAGAATGAATATTCTTTGGAGAATAGGAGACGCCCATGGAATTCATCTTCAGGACACGAGTATTTGACCTCTGTCTCCTCCACAATGTAGTCTTTTTGACTATTTGGAATGAATGCATTTGAGGAGAACTTGTCGGTGGCACAGCGGAACATAATGATGGTTGATTTGTGAGTGTAGCTGACCATTTGATTTGAGTTGCGGAGATAGTAGAGAGGGTGTTGAATTTTGTGATGGAGGAGTGAAGTGTCCCAGAATGATTTGTTCAGTGTTAACAGCATGTGGACCACTCTCCCCCTCATGACGATCCGATAACTCGGGACGTCATGCTTTTATTCTTTTATTCTGCGGAAATAAAAACATGAAAAACAAGCAGAATCTAAAAAAGATAACGTAGCCCCCCGGGGTCGTGAAGACGCCCGTTATCATCACTATAGAGATAAACTCTAAAGCAATGGCCTGAAAATGTTGGTGATTCTTATGTTGCA